ATATATGCAGGTTGCTTCTCGAGGGTTGCAGCAGTGACATCTTGATTTGGCGATGCTCGAACCACGTGTCAGGTGTGCTCGAGCCTTACGTCCTGTTGGCACAGCGCGCAAGACTGCTACTACTTCGACTGCTGCTGCTAATTACTTCGACTACGGATCGAGATGAACAAGTGGCATGAGTACTATAGCTATTGAATACTTTTTTTGCGATCACCAGTATTACTAAGATCGAACTCGGCAATCTTGTTGTCTTCCCCCATTCAGTCAGGTATTTGGCTTCGAAGGGCGACTTCGAAGCCATGCAGGAGCCGGGCTCGCTTGGGGTTTCTGGTAGGGTTCATTAGGGTTAGGGTTCATTAGGGTGCAGGGTTTAGGGCAAGCAGAGCCTCGTTCAGGTTGTTCAAGGAAGAAGTGTAAAGTTGAGCCAGCAGCGGTTTCAACGAAGCAAAGACTGATGCTTAGTTGCGTGGATGAAGGAAGCTGTTGCATTTGGGAATTTGTTTTGGGTGGTGGCGATCCGCCCACTCTACAAGGCATCGGCGAAACCAATTCACTCAAAGGTGTACAGTTTGGTACCCTCCTCCCCGAGTTATCTACCAGTTTTGGTGTAAATCCTGTCTCCCCTGACCCTCGCCCCCTTACTTTAAGGAATACTCTGTATGTGTGTATGTGTAAACTCTGAACTCTAGTACGTGTGCAGTAATGCAAATGTGAGATACGATAGTTGGTAGTCGATTGTCCTTGGAATCCTCTTTGCAGAGGCCCTATTAAATTCAATTGGGCTGTCGGATTAAAGATTGAAGATGCCCTGGGAAAGTTTGCTAAAGCTTCTTCAATCTTCAATCCGACAGCCCTATCCAATGCATGCCGACTCCGGGAGCTGTATGTGCTGTCGCCTCACAAGTTTCCTTCTGAAATTTGGTCCTGTTGAACCGCTGTGTTATCCATTGCAAATTCGGACAAAAAATAAGGACGATTCGATAGCGCCAAAGTTTCCGAAGGGTGTCGTTTCAGAAAATGTGCTGCTATCGTAACCGCTGCGTCTTCCAGACCTTTCGACAGCACCAGATTTCCGATGGGTTTGCCTCAAAAAAATGGTGCTAGCGATCCGCTGTGGTATCCATTGCAAGTACGGACAACAAGCAGGGACGGTTCGACAGCATCAACTTTTCCGAAGGGTGTCGTTAAAGAACACTTGTTGCTATCGAACCGCCTTTCGCTGAAATCACTTTCGGAAAACGCAGGATAGCACCATATCATACAGGGTATATAGATGGGGTATCACATACATGGGGTATTCTATAAGGTATTCTAGAAAGTATCCCAGGTGGTATTCTATAGAGCATACTGTATACATAGGGGGCATGATATAAAGTATTCTATAGCGCATTCCAGTGGGTATTGTATAGGTATTCCATACGGTATTGGGTAAGGTATTCTTCGGGGTGTGTATATATATATATAGAGAGAGAGAGAGAGAGGAAGGTGGTGTATGTATTATATATGTCGATCTACAGGGTATGCTGTAAGGTATTCTATAGGCAATGCTCCTGGAATTCCGGTTTCTTTCTTAGAAATCCCTTATTCAATAAGCTAGCGTTTATTGGTGAATTCTCAGATCTTGGGCTCCTCCTGATTGTCCCTATTTGAATCGTCTACGATAGGGTATGCTATAGGGTATCGTGTAAGGTGTTCGAAAGGGTATCCCAAACGGTATTGTAGAACGTATTCTTTAAGTCTATAAGGTATATTTAAGGGGTATATTACATAGGCGGTCTTCTGTAGGGTATTCTACTACAGGGTATTCCGTATGGTATTCTATCGGGCATTCTATGAGGTATTCTGCAGGGTACTCCATAAGGTATTGTACAAAACGTATTCTGTAGCCTATATTTAGAAAGGTGTTCTGTAGGGTATCCTCTTCGAAATTCTTTAAAATACAGAGGGGGGTATTCTATATGTAAGGTAGTTGTATTGTAAGGCCTTCTATAAGGTAGTTGTAAGGCTATTCGTCTTGGTTCCTGATTGCCTTCATAGGAACCCCTTACTCATAAGCTACAGCTCAACTGGGGACTTCTCAGATCTTGAGCTCCGACTGGTTTTCCATGTTTAGAATCCCTATCTACAGGGTACTCTATATGGTATTCTACAGGGGATTCTAGAGGGAATCCTACAAGGTAGTCTATAGGTATTCTGCAAGTATTCTATCTGGCATATGTAAGGTATACAGGGGTTATCATAGACAGGCGGTCGTCTATAATGTATTCAACAGGGTATTCCAGATGGTATTCTCCGATGTATATGTAAGTTATATCGGGGGGACCAGCAGAAGTATTCTATAAGGTAGTCTACATTGTATTCCTTCGGTTATTCCTTTCTTGTCTTCCTACCAAATCAGCTTCAATTCCTTCAAGGAGTTCCTAGATCCAAGATGCCGCACCGCGGCTCGCCAAACGGAGCCATTCGGTCCAACCCTCCTTCCCCCCGCAACGGGTAGATAACCCGGGCGGGGGCGGGGGGTTGGAGGGGTAGCAACAGTTGATCGCCCCTTGAAGCATATACGCCCAACCCGAAGTTTCGAATCGGCTTTCCTGACGAGATTCTGAGCCCCATGCTCCCTGACTGCGAAACTCATCGAATATCCCGAAATCTCAGACCCTAAGCCGAAAAACATTGAGACCACCCCGAAACCCCACTCTAACTTTTGAAGGCTCAACCCTAACCCCTGAACCCTAAACTCCTACACCCTAAACCCTAAACCCTAAACCCCTAAACCCTAAACCCTAAAACCCTAAACCCTAAAACCCTCAACCCTCAAGCATTTTCAACCAGCAGGGTCTGCTCCAGCTCGGGGTACCAGCCGGCGGCCGGGATAGCCTGGATGAAGTGGAGCGCGGGCCCGATTCAGGATTTGAAAGAGGGGGGGTTTCAGGGTGCTTCATAGTGTAAGGTTCAGGACTTGAAAGAGGGGTTTCAGGGTGCATCATAGTGTAAGGCGTAGGGGTTTGCGGAGTTCAAGGGTTTAAGCTGTTAGGGCTTAAAGGCTTATCCCAAGCTCGGATTCTAGCAGCCCGCCTTCAGGCTTGGAGTTTACGATTCGGTGCTTCGGGGACCGTGGACTGGAAGCCTTGAGCCTCGGGATCAGGTGTGGAAAGCGAGGTTCAGGGTGGTGGAGCTTTGGGACGTTGGGGCTTGAAAAGGACACTGGTTCAGGTTATCAGGCCTCATATGATGAGGATGGTTTCGGGAATGATTTCCTTGCCTTTTGGATGTTCGAGACTCGTTTTTCAAGCCGCTTCAGACCACGGAGATTCAGGCAGCTGAGGTTGTCGGGTCTAATGCTGATGCAGTGGCTGTAGTGCCCAATCAGGCATATGCAGTCGTTCGGTCAAACACTCCGTCACAAAGTGAGGCAACCACCTATCTTGTATGCTGCCCGGGATGGACACAGAGAAGCCATCAAGCTGCTCGCGCAGTACGAGGTGGGAAATGTGCCGAGACAGGGGAGTTGGTCGCACCTTCCTGGTTGCTAGTCGGGATGCGTGGATCTAACAGGGGGAGAGACGCTGAGTGTCAATGTACAGGGAGATCATTCGGATTTGAGGTGTCTTGGCTGAGATGAGAGCCAGAAGTTAGCTTGGAGGCTGCAGTGCAGATGCTGTGACTGAAAGATGTGCAGCCCACAAGGCAGACGTCAACGAAGTTGGCGGCATCCCCTTCGAAACAGCCCTGCATGTTGCAGTGCAGTTCTGGCCTCAGCTGAGTGGGAGAATCAAGCACCGACTTACTTCTGTAAGCACAATCGCATATTTATTTTTATACAAGTATAATACAACTATACATAGCTGCATATAACTTTGTACAATCAAAACGAAGCTACATGTGAGCATATACAGCTATATACATTACCTATACATATACATATATGTATGTGTGTNNTATATATATATATAATGAATGAAACGAGTGCGGCAAGCGAAAGATTCGCGGATGTGACATCTGAGATTAGTCAAGAAATGCAAGACTGTCAATCATCAGATTGCAAATGATTGCGCATCTTGTTGAATGGTTCCCACGTGCTGGTGTTGCGGGGCTGGGCTCTGTTTCAAGCTAGGTCTTGTTATGTTTCCTCCACAGCAGCGTGCCAGGAGTCACAAGCTCAAAG